TGTTATTTAAAAATATTTTTTATGAAGTAAAATATGCAACTTAAAAAAAGGAGTTTGATAAAGTATTTTACTAACTTGTAAACAGCAATTTCTGTATATTTATAGAAACGAATACATTTCTACAGACAACAAAACAAAAATTGTTTATAAATATATTTATTTAAAGGCGCAACCAAAACAAAATGGGTAAAGATCCCCTCCTCCTCTCCTTGACCCTAACTTGTGTACGGAAATATAGAAGTGGGGGGCTTAGGAAAAGAGGAGGGGTCTATAGCCATATTGTACCATTGGTGCAGTGATATTTTTGTTCGGAAAATAATTATAGCTTTTGTTTTCATTCAGTTAATAGGCAAAGTTTTAAGTTCTAGTTTTACATTTAGTTTAGTAAATAATTTTAGCTCTAATTTTATAGTTTAATATATATAATGTAAAAAATGCTGCACAAACTATTTAGTTTAGTGTACATAGTGTAAACTAGTATTTATGTTTTAGTTTAGAGAGTCAAAACTACAAACTGTTGACTTATGACAGCTTTCAAGTTTAAGATTTTGGTAATAAAAAAAATTTATAAATATAATTTGGTATCAAATGTTCAGAATTTTTTTTTACTCTTTTTTTAAAAGTGTTTGAGTTTGCAGAATCAATTGCATCTTGCGATGCAATAATAAACTCGTTTTCTTATCTAATTAATTGATATTTATTTAAATATTAAAAAGATAGGCTGTAATATTTAATTAATTGATAATTAAATATTATAACCTGAATATTTTTTTAGTAAATTCTCAATAAAGCCTTTTATGTTGACAATTCTTGGAACATTGTAGCTGTAAAAACTCAAAGGCTCCTTAAATCTAATATATTTCGTTGAATTTAATACTTTTAACATTTTTTTCAAGTCACCTCTTTTTATCCTTTTTTATAATGTTGATAAACACTTTCGTCAAATCTTCTTAACAGATGCCTTTCAGTATTTCAATCTTACTTGATCTACCTTTTACATTTTCAAATCTAATAATATCTTTGATTTAATATGGGCTCTATATTGATGCTGAATATTCAAGCTGTGGCCTAATAATTTACTTGTATAACAACTTTATTATGACAACATCAAGATATTTAATTCCATGTTTTTTAAAACTTAGTGTTCAATTAGCTTTATTTGAAACTTATTAACACTGATAATATGATTTTCCTACTTGAGGTCATTTGATATTGTAGCACCTTAATTTCTTTCATTTTCTGTCTTTTGTAAAATATGATCTTCTAATTTTTAGTTAAAAAGAGGATTTAGTTTACCAATATGCATGTTTTTGCAATTATTTCCATTGAACTTTATCGACCACTTATTTGACCAATTTAACAACTTATTTAAGTCTTCTCGAAAAGCATTGCTTTTTATTTCATTGGTAATTGTTGATATGATTTTCGTAACATCTGCAAATAATTCTAATTTTTTTTAGTATTTTTAAGCCGTTTATGTAATTTACAAGAAGAAGTGGGTCGTAAACTAATCCCCTGGGTTACTTTACTTGTTATTCCCTTCCATTTTGAAATAAACTCACCCAGAACATCATTTTATTTTTTATTACTAAGTAATGTTTAAATATAAGATTGAAAACCATAACCATAAAGCTAGCAACATAATTTAAATAAAGAAACCAAATCAAAAGTTTTTGCAAAGTCAAAAAATATTATACTGATATTATTATCAGCTTCAAATTCACTTGTAATAAACTCAAAAGTCTCTAACAAATTTGAACAATAATTTTTACTACAACAAATTTATGTTGTTCGGCTGCTATTTATTTATTAAAAGTCAAACTGTTCATTATAAAATTGCAACAATTTTTCTCCACAATTTTTGCAGAACATTGAAGCAATTGATTTTGCTCTCCAGTTTAAAGGACTTAATTTTTTCTTTTAGTTCTAGTTTTTATTTAGCCCATTTTTTGTTTGTTGCATAAGTTTTTTGTCTCATCTAGTTTTAATGTAATATAATTTATAAATAGTATGACATGTACATATAAAAGAAGTAGGAATCGGTGCTACAAGTGAAGACAAAAATAAATTAACTCAATTAAATGGAACATTATACACCCAGTGTTGTCGCTTGGAGGTCAGACTCTTACAGCCCCTCCTCCCTACCAAAAATAAAATAACAACAACAACCTCCCAGTGGGCACCCGACGTCAATCCGACGTCGGATTTACGTTTGATTTTCATCAGCGATGTCAAAAGACCTATTCCGACGTTGTTCCGATGTCAGTAAAATGACGTCGGGCGATGTCTTTATCTCAACATCCCCTGACGTCGTTTCGATGTATTTTGACGTTGTTCCGACATCTTATAAAAGACGTCCAAAAAACGTCGCAGTACTGACATCGATCCAACGTCGATAAAAAGACGTCGGGCAACGTCATAATATTAACGTACTTCGATGTCTTTTGACGTCTTCCGACGTCAATCCAACGTCCTTAAAACGACGTCGGAACAACGTCGTAAGACATCGCTGATGAAAATTTAATCCAAACCCAACAATATGTGTGCAATTGCGCTCTTCAATAATTATGTGAACTAAGCGTGTTTTTTTATTAATGGAAAAAAGTTTGAATAAAGGTTGATAAAATATCATGAGGTTTTGTATGATGCACTAGCATAGTTTTTTAACTATTAACATTTTCGAGTATACATTTTTTATAATATATAACTATTCGTTTTAATATTTATATAATATTTAAACAAAATTATTTCTTATCAAAGTAATAATTCCCAAATAGCTACAAGTATAAATTACTAAATAAACTCAACAATTATTATGTCCTTGTGGTGTAGTGGTAAGCGCATAGGATGTAGAAACTAATAGACCGAGGTTCGATTCCTGTCAAAGGCAGCGTTTTTTAGTTTTCAAAAAACACGTTGGATTTACATCGGAATGCCGACGTCGCGCGATGTCAGTTATCCGACGTCAAATAACATTTCCATTTCCAACGTAAACCCAACGTCGATCCGACGTCGAGATCCGACGTCGCTCGACGTTCGTTTGACGTCGAAATGCCCACTGGGCTGTCATTAGGGCTTCAAAATTTTATAATTTTCAATTAAATATATCTAAAAAAAAACTCCTTAAATTAGGTAACAATGAAAACTAACGAATATTTATTGTATTATGTTTATTATTTACTCATATCTTTTGAATATAATATATTTCCAATTTTTAATGCCACAGAAAATTGCGAATTTTTGCCACAAATTAACATACCCTCAAAAGTATGCCATGATATTTACCATCATATGCAAGTTTTACAACTAGCTATATAACATGATAAAGATTGATTACAATTGCTATTTGCACCCAATTTTCATCAATTCGCAGTTAGAAGATTGGTTGCAAAGCGTCCCAGTTTTCTTAATGCTACGTTTTTAATTACCAAATCAACTTGTTTCTACTCTTTATTATTTGTTATATTCTCATTGTCTTCCGGATCTGTTTTTCGTTAATCTCATTTTCTAATTCAAAAAGTATAAAATGTTCAGCTAGAGCTTTTTGTCTCGACAACTTTTTGCTCCATTGTCCAAAATAAAAAGCAGTATTTTTTATTAAATTCAAAATAAAAAATAAAAATAAAAATATCTGTAAATATAACAGTTGTTTAGGCATTTTTCAAAACAATCAGCAATTTGTTTACCGGTAAGTGGATGTTTCACAAGATACTAAATAGGCAAAGCATATATGCGTTTTTCAAATTTGCAGTGAAAAAATATACTAAAACTCCTAAAAAGGACGCAGTAAGACCTTGTTTAGTTTAGCCATCAAGGCATATTGTGAAGCGTCTACCTTCAGATATGAGATCATAAAGTTTTCTGTTTAAAAACAGTACGTTCTTCATTGAGTGGGCTAGCAATTTTGACAGACGAGGGCATTGAATATTTCGAATTCAAAGTATAAACAAATTTTTTAAGACTTGCATTATCCACCAATGTCACTTTTTATTATATGTTGCAATTATCATTTGAATAAGGGAGTTTATTCGAATTTAAATACTCGTGTGAATTAGTAGGTCATGCGGTATTCCTATGAATGATGCATTGAAATAACGTATGGTTCTGACTTAAGGAGGAGTCTAAAAGAGTGGGCCTACCTTCATTCACAGCATTTCTCTTTATCCATGTATACTGTATATCACTTAAGTTCTTTAATATCAGCTCTTCCAGCTCAACGTATACAAACTTATGGTTACTCCCTAAATGAAGCTAGATAAATTATTTTGTATAGATTTCTATTTTTATATTTATACTTTATTTATTTAACTACAGTTAAATAAACTGCTACAGAAGCAGTTTTTTTTCTTTATTGGGTTCTTTCCACACAACTTTGTATTGCATACTTTTTTACCTTCAAGGTAAGGCTACATACTGATTTTGTAACATACTGATTTTTTCCCTTCAAAGATAGGCTAAACATACTGATTTTTCGGATGACGCGTTGTTATTTAACCTTTTCCATTCTGAACTATTTCTCTTTCTACCTGCACCCAATTAAAAAATAAACATATCGTGTAATTATGAAATTATTTTTTTCCAGTTTAAGTAAATGTATTCGAATAATATAATAGCTATATTGAATTAAGCCCAAATAATATATTTCTTTAGTATATTATAATAAATGTAAGGCTTCATTTTTTCTTGTTCTCGTTTTTGTTTTTGTGCACAAAAATATCATTGTCTACGGCCATGCAAACAAAAGGTTAACAATTAATAAATACACTAAAGATGATTTGATTAAGATTAAACGGTGTTTAATTTTACTCTAATTAACAAATAAAAAAGGGAAGTGACATTTTTAAATTTGATAAGTACTAGAATGTTATATAAAAACTTGAGTAAATAAGTTTTGGTTCTATAAACGCATATTTCTGCGTATCTATTAAATGTGAAATTATTTTTTGTTACGCCTTATCATTTTAAAGTATTGGTATCATTATTTATTTAATTTTTTATAGAAAATGACAGGTGTTCAAAAATCGCTCCTAGAGAAAGAACTAATTGTGGCTATCCTGGAATATCAGACTATGATTGTTTCAAACGTAATTGTTGCTGGGATAGTTCAATTCCAAATGTCGTTTGGTGCTTTTTTCCGACAAGTTTGTATTTATTAAACTAAAATGATACATAATGCATCATTTTAGTTAGCTAAAATTTCAAAAGAGCTTTGCATTTAAAGCTCTGTATTACATGTTATGTAAAAATAAAGCTCTTTGCAATTTTTTTAATAAAAAAATACTATAAAATAGTCCTTTTTTTATTCAAATAATCATGACATATTATGTTAAAAAGATAACAACATATTGTATTAACACGATTTAATACAACATGTTGTTATCTTTTTAATATAATATGTCATGTTTATTTGAATAACAAAAAGACTATTTTATAGTATTTTTTTAGTAATACCTATTGATTTAATAGGTATGTTATAATCACTTTTATATAATATGGTAAAATACGTTTAATTTCAACACATTTTAGTTTGAACTGAAAGCGACTATCTGTTGCTTTACTATTTTTTTTTTTTTTTTAATGCGAGTTTCACATTTCGATTAAATTCTTTATACATCTTGATGGATTTTTTAATCTCACAAACAACACCGTCTTTGATAATACTAACCAAAATACACTGGTCCACGCTATAGTTCCATAATTAATGCATGATTTTGATTTTAAATTCTACATCTTTAAAAAGTCATCTTTAATCAGTAGCGTAACTATAAATTTCCCCCTCCCGCCAAAAAAGTAAATGGGCACTCCTTAAATTTTTTCTCATATTCATATTATTATTACCAGTCATATTATTCATATGAGTAAAATTTATAAATCTCCGCGAGGCCCTCTAAGCCCCAAAAAAGAATCTTCCACTTTTTATACTAAAAAACCAAAATTAATAATGTAATTAAAATAACAAAACACTAAAGGTGGGTAGAATGAAATAGTGAATAGAATAAAATTGTATTGACAATATTTATTTTTTTCTTCTACTTATTAATTTAATAAAAATATTGAAAATATTTTTAGATCTAATTGTAGAGAATTATTTTCTGAACAAGATAAAATCAAATTTTAATAAAAAAACAAAAAATTTATTTAAGCACTGTGTTTCACCAATAAAGACTCATCAGCATTTTTGATAAGTTTTGATTGAGGAAACAGTGTTGAATATAAATTTGAAACAGTTGTTATGTAACTAATTGAAACGGACAATTTCTAAGTAAAACTTGATATACACTTTAACATAACATAACCTAAATAAAGTTAGACATTTGCATACACTTTTGTTTACACTTTTTAATAAAAAAAGTGTTGCAACTCCTTCTTGCCATTAATTCGAGTGTAATAGCTGTCGTGTTTTCCTTGTCAAACACTCACATATACAAGGGTTTATAATCTCAGTTCCGTTCCGTAATCACAAAATCGTTTAGTAAGATATATAATTCAAACATAAATTAGTGATAAATACGGCTAGGAAAGATATTTAACGTTAAAAAAACTTTATATCAATGATTTTATATCAAAGTTTTGTCAATATGTCATATTCTGCTTCTCAAATTTTTTCTCAAATCTTCTCAAACTCTAGAAATGTTTACTTTTCTAAACAATTTTGAGATAATTTGCGTAAAGGAACAGAGAGTATAAATCAGTGTATTGGTAACGGCAACTTTTTAATTTTATATTAATATCTAACAGATTAATTTTAATTTTAATATCTAAATTAAATTTTTCTGCTAAGTTTTTCTTGTTCTATCATTCAAAAAATTATTTGAATACTTCGAAAATAGTTATTCAAATAGTCAAATATATCCAAATATTAGGCCAAAATCTAAATATATGCTGCAATAATTGAAAATAAATGTATGTGTTGCAAAGACTAAACTTAGATTTAATTTGCTACTGAGAAGTTAAAAATTAAAAAAAAAAGTATTTTGCAAAAACAAAAATTGTAAAATACAGCACAAAGAACTTTATTTTTATAACTTGAGTAAGATTTAATAAATGATGAGTTAAAAAGAATTTTTAATTAATAAAGATAATCAAGTTACTAAACTTAAAAGACTTTAAAGCTTTTGTATTACCCGGATTTACCATATTCTGATTCTTAAATTAATAAAAAGGTAATATATAGGTGTACTTAACATTTGCTTACTTTCATATAAAATTTAAAATCGCAATGACGTTACTGAAGTAACGTTATTTGATAAAGTGTCAAAGTTGAAATAGCTTCTTTATAAGACACGCTTTTAGTTAAATCTGTTTCAATGATAATTGTTATCAAGTTGCACAATCGCTAGTGGTCAATTGTGGAACCACGATAACTCTTGAGGGTAGTCAGTTTACTCAAAGATTCTTAGCCTTCTGATATTGAAAAGGGCAATTAAAGGCAGATTTTAAGTAAAACAAACGTGTGGGTAAGTATTTAATGCGGTCCCTTTGCATAAATTTCGTTTAGAAGTTCAACAGGCTTTTTGCTGGCTAGAATTTTTCTTTTAATGGAAAAAAAATACGAACAATTTTAGAAAGTCAATTTTCACTTAATTCTACCGGGTAGACTTTAACAAGGTTCTCAGCTTTTGAACGTGGTTCTCTGCCAATTCGCAACTTTTTATATACTGAAGGAAACCTTTTTATATTTCTCTTAAATAACTTTAAAATATTTCCTAGTTTGACAAGTAATATTATCCATCGCAACATTGAAAAAATTATTTTTAAAGCCTCTTAATAATATAGGGCTAAATGGTAAATAAAACATATCAGGTGTCAAATATTTTGTTTCAAAATGTTCTTCAAAAAAGGTTGTAACCACAGCTGACGTCACTGCTGCTGAAATATCATATCTTATTAAAACTTATGCAGTTTAACTAATATAAATATAGTGTTTTTAACCAATTATTTTTTTGAAACTCTTCCTTATTGAAGTCCTAAATCAACAATCCTTCAACGGCATCATCATTTTTAATAATTTTTTCCTGTTTTTAATTTCTTTATTTCTCCAGACTTTTTCCAAAATTTCTTTTCTTCAAGCGAAATCTTCTTGGCGGTCTCTAAAACATCATTAAACCCATCAGATATTTTGAATTAATTTTTTTTTCCAATAATACAATAAACCAAGAGAGATCAGCTTTGCGATTTTTTTCTTCGATACAAGAACACTATGTACTTGATAATTAGAGCATCATTATTATAAGATTTATTTCCATTATAGTCATTTCGCTTGAACGTTAAAGGTTTTCATTCAAACAATGAATGTATAAAAATTATTTTTTATTTTCATGTCGTATTGTTTTTTAACACCTTTTTTATCAAATCTTTTTCGCACTTTGTCCGGCTCAATGTTATTTTTTCAAATAAAAATTGTTTACGTTTCATAAAAAAGGTTTTATATAAGAACAACTATATGCAGTGTAAGATTTCAATAATTTAAATGGCATAATACCCCCATTCCCCTTTTCTTTGTATATAAAAATATCACAAAGAGTCTCTTGGAATCTATGGTTTGTTAAAAATGTAAGAAAGATTTTTCAAACTGCATATAAAGTTTCAAAAGATAATCAGTCCTTTAATAATTTTAAAATAAAAATTTATCTTCAAGAAAAAAAAGGAATTTCAGTACTTAAAATTTTATTAATTTTAACAACTGAGAGCTAAAAATTAACACTGAGAGCTTATTAGCTAGGTAAAGTCACTTACAGTGACTTTATAAATTATTTTGATATTATAAATTACGTCGTTAATTGTGCTTCCCATCAAAATTACAGAAAGTGGCATTTGTTTGCGGAATAACTGAATATTCAGCTGCTAAAAACTGATCGAATTCCCAATTCATGACGGGTTTCGTCTAGTTTCCGTTCCATTTTTTCAGTTTGTGCAAATTTTGAAACGTTGGTGAATCATTTTTAAAGTAGCGATGGTTGATCCTCAGAAGGACAAAAATGAAAAATTCACCCATGAAGTGATTTTAAAAAAGCGAGCCTACATATATAGTTTTTAAAGTTTTTAATTGATCTTAGATAAATGTGTAAAACTCTCCCAAAATTAATGGGATTTTTAATTGGATCTCTAAAAGTGCAACAATGATCCGTACAAGGCAAACTGAAAAATAAAGCACTTCTTCAAGTATTGAAATAAAAAAAGAAAAAATATCAACAAGACAATATAAATCTGCCCAGAATCTTTGCTTTTGTGAATTTTGACTTAACAAGTAAATTTAAAATTGTGAATTTGATCCAAATGCCTATATAATAGGCAAGCATAGTCAATTAAAAAACGTTTTCTTACAAATTTGCTTACAAATATGTTGCATTAGCTCAATGGGCTCTCATCTTAGACAAAAAATAACGACCTGCAAATATTAACGCTTAAATGAATTTAGAAAAACTGATATAAAAAATTTGTAATAAAAGGACTCGATTTAAGTTGAAGATTAAATATTTGAATTTTTGAGTCCCTTGTTAATTAATGTGCTTTGAAGCGTTTGCTCATTTTGCAAACGTTTTATAAAATATCGCCATATCTTCAAGCAAAGGAAAACGAAAACTTTTACAGCTAAATTTAAATATTACACTAACAAGAGCTTTGTTTTTTACCAAAATAGTTTTAACGTTGCTATTTGTCAAATTTACACCACTAAAAGTCGCCATTAAGAAGCTTTGATCCTCCAAAGTAAAATAATTTGTAATTACTTAATAGAAACCATTCAGCTGTAGACACTAAAAGCTAGAAAAGGAGACAAAATGAGTTGTCCGGCAAGTTTTGGAAAAATAATCCAAGATTTGCTACAGTAATTTATAGTTTTATTTAGTTTTTATCGTAAACGCAGTAGTTTGCCTCTCACATTCCCAACCCTAAAAAACATACCCGTTATTGAAAAAAAAAAAAAAGAAAAGTTCTATACATTTATTAAACAGCTACTGATATCGTTCGCTTTTAATCAGGTTATGAATTGTTGAGCCAACGCATAACTATTCTTATATATATAAATCGTATTTACAAAAGTAGTAGCTAATTTTGCATCATTTTTGACATATAGAGAAAGATTCAGATTAGTTCCGGCACCTTTTTTTGTTTAATAAAAGCACAGTGTATTTACTGGCCA